GTTCAGAAATAGGCTGAGCCCACTCCTGAAATAATACCTTACACAGGTTAAATTAGAATTTTGAGTTCAAAGATGAATACAGTCAACAGTGGTTTAGAACAACAAGCTTCAACCTTTTTGGCACCAAGGACTGGTTTTGTGGAAGACAGTATTTTCACAGCTGTGAGGTTGTAGGGAATGGTTTTGGGATGATTCAAGTGCATAACATCACTTTATTTCTATTATTATTACATCAATTCCACCTCAGTTCATCAGGCATTACACCCCAAAGGTTGAGGAACCTTGATTTAGAAGACATATGCTAGAGCCAGACAGTATGATTTTAAACCCTGGTTCAGCACTCACTAGCCATGTAATCCTAGGCAGTTTGCTTACTGTCGCTGTGCCTTAGTTTCTTCATCTATAACACTGGAAATAAGAAGAAGACATATCTCACAGGCTTCTTTGGATATTACACAACATATATAAAGAACTTAGTGCTTGGTACAGAGTGAGTTCTATGTAAGTATTTATTGTTGATACTATCAGTCTTGATATTTATAAGCAATAATTTCTATTCCAAGTAATTATGGTGATTATTATTAAACTTAGATAATATAATAGTTGATATCTTATTTCCAATAAGCAAGTTTTTTAGTATAATAAGAATGGATTTCTCTTTTAGGCTTACCCATTATGGTGTTTTATTCTGATTTTGTTGTGTCTTTCAAGTAAAAAATATTTAAAACTGAACTATAAGTTCCAAAACTGCTATATAAATTGAGTATGACTTTTGTGCTCTTAAAAATGTATTTTGGAAACAGTTTAGTGCACCCACTTTCCTTCTGCTCTCAGTAATCTATAGAAAATTAAAATGACAAGAAAGGTGGGCTTAATCAGATTTATGATTGGCAAAGGAAAGTTAACAGCTTACATGTAGCAGGTGTAGCTGTTTTAATAGATGTACCAGACTGGTCCATAAACCCACCTAGTTGCTGTGCTGTTCCACAGATGGCCACTGAAACAATTTAATGTCACTAAAATGGTTCTCATAAAGAATTCCTTAAAACAAACTGCAATGATTTACCATTTTGAACTGTCTGAAATGCCATCATTATCCTAATGGCCCACAGTTAGAACATTTTTCTTCAAATGTCTCCCCCCACCCCCCCCACCTTTCTGGCTCTCCTGTTTCTGTTCTAAACTTCTCTCATCTGCATATTCTTGATACCACTAATCAGGCTTAGGTTTAATTCATGTGATCTATCATCCACTGGATTTTCTTGCCCTACTCATTTGGCCTTGATTTGAAAAACACCTTGTCTTCTACTTCCATCCCTTCAGAGTTGACTTTAGTAACTCTTAGGCTAGTCCTGTCTTCATTTTCTTAGGCTTACTTGATTGTGGGAAGGGGAAAACTTCACAGGGATCAACATGTACACAGGCTCAGTGGTGAGAGGTTTATGGCATTGAATTTAAGAAGGGATGCATACATTTAGTAGGTCCAGCATGTTGTACCTGTGGCATACTTTCACCTGTGGTAATAACAGTCTGAGTAAACATGTCACAAAGGCCCCACACTTCCTTGTTGATGGCCATGGCAGAGAGTGCGAATCAATCTTGACAACCCTGTAGTTGTTTGTAACAGACACTCCAGATAGTTACTACCAGCCTTTCAGTGTTGGAACTCAAGATGAAACCTATTTGCTCTCCAGGAGATGATTTTTGCAGGGCATAAAGTTTTCTTCAAATGGATTTTTCTTATATTGATTCTCCATAAAAAAAAAAAAGAAAAAAAAAAACACTGAGACCAAAACATTAAATCTCAACTTCGTGGAGTCTTTTCTTTAGGGAGGAAATATAACATGGTTCAGAATATCAGACATCTCAAGCAAGCCTTTGGCAAGTGCTAGATTTAGTCAGTTCATAGTTGAATTTTCTGACAAGTGTCGAAAGTGCTGAAACTCAGTGCTGTTGCTTAAGATCAATATAGGTACCAGACTGGAAGCAGAGTTGAGCTGAATTTCATTCTTGTCAGACTGAGAGTCCTCATCTTTTGTGCAAAGATGGATTAAGAGGAGAGGCTCATTCTCAGGAACTTTGATTATATGCAAACACTTGGATAAATACTTGGTTACAACCTCAGAGTTCTGGAATATGTACAAAATTCAGTAGCTAATACATAAAGCATACATACATTAGGCTGTGTTATGCAGTTTACATACATTACCCTCATTAAATGTAATCCTTATATCAGTTCTATAAGGTAGACCCTACTTTTATTCCTAGGTTAAAGGTGAGGAAATTGAAAAGAGGGAACCCTAATTTGCCTAAAGTTTTTAAGTGGAAAAAACATGATTTTGGTCCACTCTGACTGCAGAGCCTGTCCTCTTTTATCTGTTATTAACCGTTTTTAATTGAAATACAGTAAATGTATAAAGTTGTGTTAGTTTCAGGTGTATAGCAAAGTGCTTCCATTTCAGGTTATTATTATTATATTATTATTAATATAATAATATAATATAATATAATAATATATTATTATTATTATTATACAACCATTATAGGTTGTAAGACATTAATATTGTTCCCCATGCTTAAAGCCTGCTCAACTTTCACACTGCCCCTCCTTTGTTTGCATTGCAAGTTTTGTAATTTGCTTTGTTTGAAGGAAATTTCATCCAGTACTGACTCTGGTTTTGATGAAGCAAGCCCTTTGGTCCTTCAGGACCTTTTTGGGTAGTAACTTCTAGAACTTTAGCCCTAGGGTAAGGTACTGATGAATCATAGCCTCACCTCTACTACTAGGGTAATAAGGAACTCTAGTTAAGGTTAGGCTGGAAGACTATAGCAAGAGTGCTTCCAGCCCTGGGATTAGAGTGGTTATTTATTATCTAGCCAAGAAGAGGCAGGGATTGATAAGAACTAAAAACCAGAAAAGTACTTTCCCAGTGAAGTAAGCCTTGTTTCTCAAAATGTAGTCTTTTGGACCACCTGCATCAGAAGTACTATGAAGTTCCAGATCCAGAAATATCTCCCCCATATTGCTTTGTTTTAATTAAGAAAGTAAGACTTTGCTTAACAGTCATGCGTTTGAGAAGCTATCAAAACTTTGAGGCAATTAGATAGTTTTTAGTTGAGGTTTGCAGCCTCAGAAAATAGGAAAAGAGAAAACCTTCTGGCTTCTGAAGCTTAGAAAGAAGATTAGAGGTATGAAGGTCAGATACAGGAGGTATGAGAGTGCAAGGGAATGGGGAGGCCAGAGAGTTGGCATACTAACATTGAGAACCTGAAAGAAGGGCAGGAAGGTGAATGTAAGGAGAAGCTGCCTTGTGTCACTTTTTTTGGTCTCTCCCTACTCCACTTAAGAACACAGAGCTGTGCAGACTTCTCTGGACCCTGTCCTCTTGTTGTTCAGTCGCTGAGTCATGTCTGACTATTCAAGACCCTATGAACTACAGAACAGCAGGCTTCCCTTTCCTTCACTATCTCCTAAAATTTGCTCAGACTTGTGTCCATTGTGTCAATTATGCCATCCAGCCATCTCATCCCCTGTCATCCCCTTTTCCTCCTTCCTTCAGTCTTTCCCAGCATCAGGGTCTTTTCCAGTGAATCAACTCTTCCCATCAAGTAGCCAAAATATTGGAGCTGCAGGTTCAGCATCAGTCCTTCCAGTGATTATTCAAGGTTGATTTTCTTTAGGATTGACTGGTTTGATCTCCTTGCTGCCCACAGGACTCTCAAGAGTCTTATCTGGGCCCACAATTCAAAAGCATCAATTTCTTCAGTGCTCAGCCTTCTTTATGATCCAGCTCTCACATCTGTCATGACTACTGGAAAACCATAGCCTTGTGGGCAAAGTGATGTCTCTGCTTTTGAATACTGTGTCAGGAATTGTCATAGCTTTTCTTCCAAGGAGCAAGTGTAATTTCATGGCTGCAGTCACCATCCACAGTGATTTTCAGTTCATTTCAGTCCTCAGTCGTGTCCGACTCTTTGCGACCCCAAGAACCACAGCAAGCCAGGCTTCCCTGTCCATCACCAACTCCCGGAGTCCACCCAGACACATGTCCATCAAGTCGGTGATGCCATCCAACCATCTCATCCTCTGTCGTCCCCTTCTCCTCCTGCCCTCAATCTTTCCCAGCATCAGGGTCTTTTCCAATGAGTCAGCTCGTCACATCAGGTCACCAAAGTGTTAGTTTCAGCTTCAACATCAGTCCTTGTAATGAACACCCAGGACTGATTTCCTTTAGGATGGACTGGTTGGATCTCCTTGCAGTCCAAGGGACTCTCAAGAGTCTTCTCCAACACCACACTTCAAAAGCATCAATTCTTCGGCGCTGAGCTTTCTTTATAGTCCAACTCTCCATCCATACATGACCACTGGAAAAACCATAGCCTTGACCAGATGGGCCTTTGCTGGCAAAGTAATGCCTCTGCTTTTTAATACTCCATCTAGGTTGGTCATAGCTTTTCTTCCAAGGAGCAAGCATCTTTTAATTTCATGGCTGCAGTCACCATCTGCAGTGGGATTTGCCCTCAAATTTTGACTCTGCTGTTGAGCAGCTAAATGAACTTGGGTTATTTACATCTTCTTGAACTTTTTTGCTCATCTGGGAATGAAGACTAATAATACCCCCTGCATCAGTGTGAGTTTGGGGTAGAGACAGAGGAGATGTAGTACCTGGCACACAGTAAGCTGTGTTTTTTCTTTGTCCTTCCTTGTGTGACTGTTCTAACTGCTGGGTAAACATGCTTACTCTCACAGCCCTGATATATTTCCTCACGTCTACTCAATATATCAAGTATTTAGGCATTCTGCCTCCTGATGCCTAGATCTCAGGGCGTGGAGTTTATANCAGTTCTGCTATCAATCCAGGCTTTGTTAAATGCTCCCAATCCAGATGATCCATTAGCAAATGATGTAGCGGAGCAATGGAAGACCAACGAAGCCCAAGCCATAGAAACAGCTAGAGCATGGACTAGGCTATATGCCATGAATAATATTTAAATCGCTTCTATCCTCAAGTGTGCATCACTTCTCCTGTTCTGCCAAGACTTCTTCCTTTTTTGTTTGCATTTAATGGATACAGTCTTAGAAACATTACAGAATAAAAACCCAGACGTCTTCAACCCTTTGGTGATTAAATGCACATTAGCAAATCTATGTCTTGTCCTGATTCACTGTTGTAAAGCATGAGCAGAGGCTAGAAGTACCATCTGGATTGTTGCGAAACATTTAAAAGCAGTGGCGCCTCTCTGCTTTTATTCATTTCCCCCATCATGGTTTAAGTATAAAGCACTGTGAATGAAGGTAGTTGTCAGGGTTAGCTGCAGGGGTGTGGGTGTTTTTCTTTATTTTATTATTATTATTTTTTTTTGGTGGGGGGAAGGTAGTTTTATTTTAATTTTATGGGCTCCTTTCCCCCTTTTTATGGTGATCTAATTGCATTGGTTAAAAGCAGCTAACCAGTTCTTTAGAATATGCTCTCTAGCCAAGTCTAACTTTATTTAGACGCTGTAGATGGACAAGCTTGATTGTTTGAGCCAAAATGGGAACATTAAACAGACATCACAGCCCTCACTAATAACATTGTGACCTTGCTGTCAAGTGTAGAATCCTCCCTTCAAGAAAAAGCTTGTGACCATTTTGTATGGCTTGTCTGGAAACTTCTGTAAATCTTATGTTTTAGTAAAATATTTTTTGTTATTCTACAAAAAAATAAAAATAAAAAAAATAAAACTGCAAGCCTGCTATTTTCACAGTAGCCTGGCAATTTAGATATTAGCCCCATTTTGCAGATGAAAAAACTAATATTCTTACAACTACTTACTTGCTGAAATCTCACAGATAGTAAGTAGTAGAACCAGTGTTTAAAGCCAAGTTGGTACGTGTTTGTGACCTGTGGTCACTCCAGTTGCTCTTTCAGGATGCCAGCTGAAGATGTTAATGGTTCTGGTAACATGAACAGCTCAACTCTTCTCAGCCTGTGCTCTGCTCTTCCTCTTTCAGCCAGGGTGGTGATGTTATCAGACCTGCTAGCAGGGACCCGGTGTCTTGGCAGCATTCTTTCTCATCCAGTTTTAGTCCTCCATTTTTCCTTGACCACCCTCTTTTTCCTCTCCTAGTTTTACTTCCACTTTCACGTCCTTCTGGAATTAGAGTATTTCCTGACTTTCCCTCTGCTGCCAAGAGTCAAAATTACTTTTAATTTCAGTTAACTGCTTAGATGTTGAGGGGCACTTGGTTGAATGAATCTGAAGTGGAGATTGCCCATTATAAATGCAGTTGCCTTTAAAAATAAAATGCTGTATAAGTGAAGCCAAAGGTTACTCTTTACAGATTGTTGCTGCAAAAGCAAATAGGCCCTTGTCATTCATAACGAAGGTTAAAATGCTCTGAAATTTGGGATCAGCTGATGCTGCTCTTTCAGAGCAGGTAAGAGAAGCACTTGAATGTTTAAATATACAATAATATGGAAGTGTTGTCACCACTGTAGATTGTGCTTTGCAGTTGCCAACTTAGCACATCTAAAAAAATGTTATCTACAAATGTTCCTACATTTAAAACTACTCCCTGTTCCTTTGTTCCCTTCAATTAAAAGAAAGGAAAAGATGTTGAAATGACTAATATTCTAGTACCAAGAACATCACAGACCAAAACAGGTGATTTTATGCTATTGCTATAGAAACAGCAGTAAAAGAAATGAATATAAACCTTGCTTTTAAATGATTCAATTATTTTCTTTTAGACTGTTCGTGCCATAATAGACATTCTCTTTTTAAGTGAATAAGAAATTGAGCATCTATCATTGTAGATTGTTACTTTACGCAAATCTTCTTTTTTTAGCTAAAACCGTGGCACATAGAAAAATAAAGATTAAGTAGCTTTTTCTAAATGCCGCCTCAGTTTAGAATTCATGCAGATGTTTCTATAAACCTGTTGTCCCTAGGCATAGTCTTAAGATTTTGCTATATGATTTGGCCACCATTCACTCAGTTAGTATTTACTGAGTACCTACTAGGTGCCAGGTATCTGCTAGACACATCACCACTGACCTTGTATTGCAAGGAAAAGAAGGAGGTACCTGCTTCTTGATAGGGTGATAAAGATATTTAAGACTTGAAGGAGGATGAAGAGCTAGCCATATCAAGAGGAAGAGGGAGGGTACCTGTAGAAAGAAAAAACCTGTGCAAATTCCAGTTAAAAGCACACACCAAGTATGAAGTCTATAGAGAGCAGTAAGGAGGAGGGATAGTTATGAATGAGATAGGCACGTATGCCGATTAATCTTCCACCCCTCCAGATATGTGCACTGCCTTCTAGCATGTGCTGTGTGTCCTGGGAGTTAGATCCTTTCTGTTTTCCCACATCATACTATATTAATCACCCAGGCTCCTTTGACCTCAGGATATCCCAAGCAACAGAAAATAGCATCTGAAGATCAGCAGAGAAGAGGAGGAGAAAAGACAGCGTACTTCTTTCCCTTCTTCCTGCTGATGCCCCCACCTATGAAGATGCAGTTGCTCTGGCTCCAGTCTTCCCCTCTCCCCTGCAGACCTAGGAACAGTAATGGCTGCCCACTGTTGTTATTTTTCCATGTCTTAACTGTACATTCTTTCTTCAGCCCTGCCCATACTTCTGTAAGAAATCATTTAATAATCACCTGTCCATTTGAACCATGTGGTATGAACTCTGTTCCCTTTGAGGTCCCTGATTATAGAGAATGAGGCCTGATGAGTGAGGAAGGGTGGGTAATTTATAGACATTATGAGCTAGGAATTTATTTATTTTTTCTCAGAAAAGCATAAGTCCACTGAAATATGAAGGGATAATTGATCCTCCTTTAAGATGGTCACTCTGGCTGCTCCCTCTTGGAAGGGAGGATGAGAATGGAATCGGGAAGCCAGTTGGGAGGTTTTGTAGGCAAGGAGCAATGGTGCTTGAGCTAGAGTGATAGAATAGGAGATAGAGAAACAAATAGATTCAGTACAGAACTGATAGACTTGCAGAGAGGAACTGTGAATCAAGAGTGACTCTTAACTTTCTGGTTTGAGCTTCTTGGGAGTAGTGAGGATGGGGATTTGGGCTGTTTTCTTAATAAGGTCCATTTGAAATGTCTGTGAAATATGTAGGAAAAGATTCAAGCAGGCAGTTTGGAGTTCGAGAAATGAGCCAGAGCTAGAAATGTAAATTGAATTGTCAACATAGGGATAACATTTAAAACCAGACATAGGAGTGGAAATAGTCTCCAAGGTAAAAAAATGTTTAAAAAAATTGAGAAAACCCAAGAGCTCCCTTATTTAAAGTCTTCAGGAGCTGTTTGAATGCACATATTAGTTCCTCTCAAATATTACTAAAATAATATGAAAATCAGCTTTAGAGAAAAAAATGAAAATTATGAATGCTTCAGAAATAAAATATGAAAATTCTGTGTTTATACTTCTCCTTATAAAATAAACTTAACATCTAATTGGTTGTATTTTTTAAAAGAGCAGTAGTCTTTTACCTTCTAAGAACACTGCTTTACTCCTGTGGTGAACATTGGCACACATATACTAACATCTCATGTATCCACTTTAGTCTTGTGCTAGAAACTTGTCAGTGGATCGGAGAACTGAATGAGTTAATTCTTCTCATCTCAAGCTCTTATTTCTAACCAACAGGATTATGTTTAGGTGGTGAATTCTGCATACTGTCTAACTTAATTGGGAAATGTGTTTACAATGATAAGCTTCTAGCTTAATTTAAATGAAGGAAAGCTTTCTAATTTCACCTTTCATTTACTGGAATTTTTTAAGATAAAAGAATGTGTTAAAATGGCACCAATGTGTTACCACTAATGCAGTCTGTAATAACCAAATCTGTTTGCTTTTTTACTCCAGAGCAACCATCAGGCCCTGCACAGAGAGATGTCTTGGTGTTTTTCTTCAGGTCTTCTACAAATGATCATCCCTTGACTCCAGGGGCATATAGATTTTATTATAAGGCCTTCTAGGTTGTATATTACAGCATTGAACTATCATCTATAGCATCCATTAGAATGGTATTGACAAAATGTCCACTCGTATTGAACTAAGCACTCAGTAAACCGCTATAAGTAAATTGTCATGCTTTTACTTCGAAGGATAGTCTGTTGATTCCCCACACTAGTCTGGGCCTAGCAGAACAACCCTAGCGACAGTTCCCTTGTGATACTTGTAAAATGTTGCTTAATGTCTTTTTTGAGGTACCCAAAAGTAAAGTATTTTTTAACATTTTTTTTATTACTGCTTGCATAGAATATTTATTTTATTTCAGATAGTTAACCACTAATCAGTGTTTTGTCCTTATGGGCTAAAACTCTTTAATTTATAAATTACATATAATTTATGAATAATTGTGTTATTTATGGGCATAAATTATATGCCCATAATAAGAATATTTGGAGACTCATTCTCCAAAAGTAACTGTTTTTAATAGTATTTTTGTGAGTGCCTTCAGAGATTGTCTGTGTCTGTCTGTATGATGTAACAATTATTTTTTCCACAAATAGAATCATACCATTTATATTCTTTGGGAATTGGTGTGATATTTTGAGTTTCCCTCATAGCTCAGTTGGTAAAGATTCCGCCTACAATGCAGGAGACCCTGGTTCAATTCCTGTATTGGGAAGATCCACTGGAGAAGGGATAGGCTACTCACTCCAGTATTCTTGGGCTTTCCTTTTGTTTCAGCTGGTAAAGAATCCACTTGCAATGCAGGAGACCTGGGTTTGATCCCTGGATTGGGAAGATCCCCTGGTGAAGGGAAAGGCTACCCACTCCAGTATTCTGGCCTGGAGAATTCCATGGACTGTATAGTCCATGGGGTCACAAAGAGTCAGACAGGACTGAGTGGTATTTTGACAGTGGGGCTTTCTTCTTTATCTGTTTTGGAAATCTTTCTATAATACTGTATATTAATCTTATTCTTTTTTAGCTATCATATGTATCATTGCATGGGTATAGCATAGTATATTTATCTATTCTCTTGTGATGGACCTCTAAATTTTCCCCTTTTCTTCATTTTTCTATTAGTGTTATAATTAACACCCATTTAAGTATATCTTTATGTGCTTAGGAAATGGCCTTCATTTAAAAGGTATGTGAGATTTTCATGTAGTAAATAGAACTGGAGAAAGCATATATTACCTAAAGAGTCAAAGTCTTCTATACCTGTAATGACACATTTAAGAGAGCAGAGGTGAGGAGGGGGAGAAAAATCTAAAGAACGAAAGTTGGAAGTGTTCAAAGATACTTAGGGGATATCCCCGCCCTCTTGTCGGACAGTCAGAGTTTCACTGAGTGGCAACTTACAGCAATTTTTTTTAGATTTTCAAGACTTGTCAGTTACTGGAAATCTCTAATAATAATAGTTTGTGTAGTGTTTTATAATGATAATTGAGCACCCTAATTGATCTGTAATTTGTGAAAAATGTACTAATTTTAATGTCAAATATCTTCTTTATTGAAGTCTTCAGGAAGTGATCATTTATGATAGTAATATTCAGTTCAACAGAATAAGCAATTAATTGGAACAAATAATGCCTTTGTTGTTGTTGTTCAATCGCTAAGTCATCTCCTACTCTTGTGGCCTTAGTAACTGCAGCATGCCACACTTCTCTGTCCTTCTTTATCTCCCAGAGTTTGCTCAGATTCTTGTCCATTTAGTTGGTGATGCCATCTAACCATCTCATCCTCTGCTGTCCCCTTCTTCTTTTGCCTTCAATCTTTCCCAGCATCAGAGTCTTTTCCAGTGAATAGACTCTAGAAACCTGTGTATAAACAAAAGGTTACAGTGCTTAGTGTTATATTTCCTAAACTACACATGAGTTCATTGGCAATTTATGGCAGCGTGTTTTAGCAGTGGGACAGGGGGGAGGTCGAGAGAGTAGGTGGTGTGAGAGTTCCATTATATTAATTCTCACTTTTATGTTAGAGATGATTATTTAAGTAGATAATGCATACCCATACTGCAGTTTCTCTAAGGAAGGTGAATGTTGGTTGAAAACAGAAGATCTTAAAGAAAGGGAAAGAGACAATACATTAGCTGACAAATCAATTAAAAGCATACATCTGGAGGAGTAATATTCCAAGTTTATAAATCATTTCATGTTGTTTTCTCTCAGCAGATGAATGGACAGATGTAATCATCCCCAGTTTACATATAAAGGAGTTGGGACTCCAAGAGTTTGACCCAATTCCTATAGTCCTTTGTCTTTTTAACAAATAATGTAACTATTGCTGTAGTAGTTTCCTAAATCTGCTGTAACAGATTTCCACAAACTGGATGGCTTAGAACAATAGAAATTTATCATCTTACAGCTGAAAGTCCCAAATCAAGACGTCAACAGGATTTGTTCCTTCTGGAAGCATGGAGAAGAATCTGCAATGCCTCACTTTCCTAGTTCCTGGCAGTTACCAACAGACTTTTTGGCATTTTTTGGCTTGTAGATGCATCACTCCAGTTTCTGCCTCCATCCTTTTCCTGTCTTTGTCCAAATTTCCCACCTTTTTAAGGACATCAATCATTGGGTTACAACCCATACTAATTCAACATGACTTTATCTTAATTTGATTATATCCTCAAAGATCCTATTTTCAAATAAGGTCACAGTCACAGGTATCAGTAATTAGGACTTGAACATACCTTTCTGGGGGACACAGTTCAACCCCCAACAGTGACTATAAGTCACTAAATTAATGTAGGAGCACAAGAGCATCACCAATTAAATTGTATGTTTTATACTATTGGAATAGAAATAATAGTTCTTATGCTTTTCTCCTAAAGTTTCATTTATCAAAAGCCCCATCACCAATAAGTCATTGAACTAGTAACAGCTTTCTTTTTCATGGAATGTAATTCATATACCATAAAAGTTTCCCTTTCAAAGTATATGATTTAGTGGGTTTTAGTATACGTCACAGGGGCTTCCTAGGTGGCTCAGTGGTAAAAAATCCACCCCACCTGCCAAGCAGGAGACACAGATTCAATTCCTGAGTTGGGAAGATGCCTTGAGAAGGAAATGGCCACCCACTCCAGTGTTCTTACCTGGGAAATCCCATGGACAAAGGAGCCTGGCAGGCTACAGTCCACGGGGTCACAATGAGTCAGACAGGACTTAGTGATTAGCCACTGGACCACCAGAGAAGTCCCAGTATCTAATGGTTTTGATTTTTATTTCCCTACTGGTTAATAATGTTGAGTGTGTTTTCATTTGCTTATTGGTCATTTTTTATTTTCTTCAGAGAAATGTCTATTCAGATTCTTTGCTCATTCTTTAATTGGATTACTACTTCTTATTGATTTGTAGGAGTTCTTTATACATTTTAGACACTAGACCCTATCAGATATATGGTTTGTAAAAATTTTCTTTCATTCTTTCATATGGTGTCCTTTGTAGGACAAATTTTTTATGAAACTCAGTACGTCTGTTTTTCCCTTTGTTGCTTGTGTTTTAGGTGCCATGCTGTTTTTGACCTTAAATTTTCACTGTTGATCCATTTTTATAAACTGGAATAAGAAGAGAATTTCCTCCACTTGTTAAAAGCTGTCTATGAAAAACATGTATTACATAGCTTATTATACTTACTGAGGAAAGATTGAATGCTTTCTCCCTATGATTAGAAACAAAATATGGCTGGTTTTCTTTCACCATTTCTGTTCATCATTATACTGGAGATTCTAGTCAATGTAATAAAGCAAGAAAAAAATATGTAAATAATGTAAGGCATTCATATTGGAAAGGAAAAGGCAAGACTGTCTTTAATCACAAACGATATGAGTGTCTGCAGAAAAGTAATGAGTTCAGTGAGGTTAAGGAATATGAAAATCAATATACAAAAATCAGTCGTATTTCTGTATACTAACAAAGAACAATCTGAAGATGAAATTAAGAAAACAGTTAATTCTACAGTAACATCAAACAGAATAAGAAGTTTAGGAATACTTCAACAAATGTAGTACAAGATTTGTGTACTGAAATTAAAAAGCTTTGCTGAGAGAAATTAAAGATATAAGTAAATAGAGAGCCATTTTATTAAAAGATTCCATATTCTTGACAATTTTCCCCATATTGCTCCAAAGATTCACCAGCAGATGGGTGGTTGTGTTTTGTAAAAGCTGATGACCTTATCCTAAAGTTTTTATGAGAATTCAAAAGTATAGGAAAACAGTTTTGTAAAAGAAGAACAAACATGGAGCATTCACACTTAACTCAAAATTTAAGGTAAAGCTATAGCAGTTAAGGCAATATGATAAAAGCATGAAGAAAATAATGAAGCAGATAACAGAATCAAGAAATAAACCTTCATTTGTGATCACTTGTTTTTGTTTTTTGTTTTTGCAAAGTATTGTAATTGAGGTAATTCAGTGGGTAAAAGAATAGTCTTTTCAACAAATGGTGCTAGGACATTTGGATATCCACATGCAAAAAAATTAATTTAGAGCCTTACTTCACACAGTATATAAAAATTAGCTCAAAATTGATTGTAGACCTAAATATAAGAGTTAAAGTTGTAAAATATCTCCATGACTTTCGGGTTTCTACAGAGGCAAAGCCTTTTTTAGGTATGAGAAACAGTCATTAAGTTAAGAACAAAATGATAAATTGGACTTCTTAAAAATTTTAAGTTTGCCTTTGAAAAAAACACTGTTATGTAAATGAAGACAAGCCACAGGCAGGTGAAAACATTTACAAATCATTCATGTGATTAGATTCTTATACCCAGAATATAAAAATGACTGGGTCATTAATACAAAAACACATCACCTTGGTAAAAGATTTGAATAGGCACTTTATAAAAGAAGATAGGGAAACATGGCTAAAAACACATGATAATATTCTCAACATCATTTGTCATTAGGAAAATACAAATTAAAGCCACAGTGAAATACCACCTTATATCCACCACAACGACCGTCTTCCTGATTGTGTACGTAAGAAACATGGAAACATTATGTCCACACACAGTGTTAAACATAAATGTTTTTAGTATGTGGTATTTAAATTAGCTAAACTAAAGATAATGTATAGATCCATCAACTCAGCTGGTGAATGGATATGGATAAACAAAATGTGACAT